CATCCATCCCAGGTGAAGAGTTCTGCAGTGCTTCCACCTGCGGAGGCTGCCCAAACAAAACACCAGGAATCAAAGCATTTAACATTTTACAGAATCAGGCTCATCATCCCAGCTGGAGAGTTCTGCACTGCTTCCATCTGCAGAGACTGCCCTAACCAAAGCACTAGGTTGTCACCAGAGCAAGCTTCAGCAAGAATAAAGACTCAGGTATTTTCATTGTTTCCTTTGGCACATACAACACAGTGCAAATGTCTTTTTTTGAATGACAATTTTTTATTAGATGAACACAGTTTAATACATAACATGTACATGGCCTAGGATGCAACGTGCTCCCTCCCCTACCGATTAGAGAACACTGTGAAGGTGAACACCAGCTCTGCATTTGTGACCTCACAGGGATGTTACAGGTGGCTGGGAGTGGAAGCTTTGCACACAGGTACATCTACCACAGGACAGGACAAGACACATTAGGAAGAGGTAAAGAGTAGGAAGAAGGGAGTAAGCTGGATCTGCCCCGGCTGAAGGACTGCTCTCGAGAATCTGCTCTCCGATTCCCCTCCCATGTTCCCTAGGGAGCAAGAGGGTGGAGGACAGGTCATGATGGAGCTGGAGTCCTGTGGAAAGTAGAACTGTGTGGTTTCACACATGGCACTGCCAGCCAAGAGCCCCTGTGAGAACCACTGCTCAGGGTGCTGTCAACAAGCCGTGGGCCATCCTGCACCACGTCTTCCACTCTGCTCTCTGAGCAGGCTGAACACGTGGGGCTCCATCCTCCTCGCACTGCTCATGCCAAGATCTAGTTAAATCAGTGAACAAGTCATGGAAGACTAATGGGATTTGGCACTTTCCTGATGATGACCTCATTTTTGCACTCCTATCAAGTCCCACAAGGCATTGCCTAAAATCTCAGGGTCCTAATTCTGAATCATAGTGTTCCCAGAATTGGAATCCTCAAATAAGTGGACTGATGGGGGAAAACAGCAGGGAGGGACAAACAAGAAATCCACTGAGAGCTTGGCAGCTACTCTTCACTTCAGTGATAGCACTTGGGCTGCTCAACACTTGAATCAGACAGTTATTTTAAAATAAGTGTAAACATGGATTCATGGGCTTTACTCCAGGTCCACTTCCCTTGGAAGGTTTGGTTCTAGACAGTCAACAAAAAGGAAAAGGAAAAAAATAATCACACTAAGGAAAATCAGAAGACTCATCAAAAACCGTTTCAACCTTACGAAGCACATGTCTCTTTTGACTCAGGCCTCAAAATCAATTTACTGTATTGTTAAAAAAATAGCAATATAGAAACTACCCCTTTCTCAAAGTTTAAGCACATCGAAAAAGACCCTACAGAAACAGTCCCCTTTCTGGCAAGGCACTATCCAGTACTGTGTGGCACAAACAAAAACACCTCTATCAAAGCCACTGATACAGTGAATGTGCACGTGCACGTCAGCCCACACAGCAACTTTAGCTAGGTACAGAGATAAACAGCTTCATTCACACTGCTCTCCCTTTTAAAAAGTGGGGTAGTTACAAGTATTAGCTAGAAATTGGGATCATTTGGTTTTCAAACATACCTTTTTATGCAAATATTTTAAACAGAATTAAGAATATGCTATTTCTTTCAATAAATGTCTCTAGTTTCCACAGACCTTTTCAGATACCTGATATCATTATTACAAAACTGGTTATTCCACAGACCTTTTCAGATACCTGATAGCTACATTTCATTATTACAAAACTGGTTTAAAAAATTCCAGATCATCTTGTGTAACAAACTAGAACTCTACTTGCTTTGATTACAAAAATAAGGCTGTCACACAACAGACCAAATTCACATTCAAGCAACATATATACTTTTTTCTTTTCTTTTTTCATTTTCTTTTTTAAACTAACCACTTATGATTCAAAAGCACATATTCTAAGGGACTTACACTGCCAATCCATACAAGCAAGAGGGATATCTTTGGAGCTACTCTTGTCCTCCATACAACTGATTATGCCCACGTGTGTGCTCAGAAATAAGCTAGGTTTACTTAACAGCTGTAACAAGACCAACTCTCCACTAAATGAGAGCCTTCTATTCTACAATTATCAAAATTCAAGAGGAGTTTTGTGAAACTAATTTCATCCCTGGAGAAATCAGTGTGGTTTTGCCTTTCACATCAGTAATCCTGGGATTTTGCCCAGGATTACTCATGTGTATACATTTACACACTTAGGTAAATTTTTCAAACCTGGGACTTCAGGCAGTTCTCAAAGTTTACAACATATCAAGTACATGATAAATCCAGGATGGCTTCTCTGTAATCAACTGCACAATTATGTAAATTTATATCTGTATTCATTTACAAAGTGAAATATTTAGCTTCTTTTTAGAATAGTTATATTAACTTGGTGAAGTTAACAACATACAGCTCCACCTCATGTCATATTCCCTTACTACAGTGAGGTTCAAGTCTCCTGGGATTGGTCACAAGAATGTCACAGTACCTTAACACAGACCACATAATTATGTATATGCATGTTATCAATGCCCATTCAGGGCTCCTCTAGAGAAGGTGCTGGAGCTGAGATTTTGACCAGCAAATACAACCATGGACTTCAAATCTGTATATGCTCTTGGTTCATCTAGCCCTTTAACTGAGCTGAGGAGGCACAAGAGGATCTAAAAAGAAACTGATTTATAGATGGATCCTTTTAACATCTTTCTTATCTTTGTACTAGAGGGAAAAGCAACACAGGTGTAAGCAGTGTGTAGCTGAGACAATACAAACAGGAAGATAACTTTATCTTTACTCCAGCAACTAGTAGTCACAAACATTTTTCATGTCATACCTCTGTAGTCATAAGCCACTGTCCAAAATTTGAAAAGCTATGGTTCTCCTATTGCTCATCATCTTCAGCAAGGACTTGGACGATGACCTAGTATGCACCCTCAGCAAATCTGTGTATGACACCTGAACTTGGTTCAGTGGTTGGTAACAGCTGGCAGAGCTTCAGTCCAATGGCATCTCCATAACCTTCATGACAGAGCTGATAAACCTCATCAAGTTTGATAAGGACAAGTAGAAAGTTCTGACCCTCAGGGTGGAAAAGCATCAGTATGGGCTGGAAAGTGACTGATATAGTAATACATCTGCTGAAGAGACCTGGGAATGTTAGTGAATACCACGTTGATCATAAGCCATCAGTGTTCTCACTGCAAATAGGAGAAAGCAAGCAGTGCACTACTTCAGAAGTGTGGCCAGCAGTCTGATATAGGTTTTTGTGCTCCCTCTACTCAGCATAGGTGAGGCCACATCTGAAATACTGTTTTGGAACCTTTTCCCCGTTCAAGAGGGATATGAACAAACTGTAAAGCATAGCCCTACAGAAAAGAAAAGCAGTCAAGGGTCTAAAGCACATGGCCTGTGAGGAGACGTCGAGGAAGTCAGGTTTGTTCAGTCTGGTAAGAAGGCAACTAAGAGGTGATCTTAGTTGCAGGTAGCCTATAGCTGTCTTGAGTTCAGTTACAAAAAGAATGGTGCCAATCTCTTCCTGTGAGTGCCAGAAAACACAGCAAAAACAACAACCACAAATTACAGCCTAGAAGTCAAAGCTGGACTTTTAAAGAAAGTTTTCACTAGGAAAGCACTGCAGCAGTGGCACAGGTTACCTCGAGAGTTATGAGATCTTCATCTTTGGATATCTTTAACACTCTGCCAGGGAAACCTATATCTGATCCAAGCCAGTATTGCCATTAGCCCTGATTTTGACAGTGATGGACCAGATGACCTCCAGTTGTCCCCTCCAGCTAACATGTCTTGCATGCCATGGTTGCTGATGTTAACAGAACTTGTGATCTTTTGCACAGACAATTTTGCTTTCTGACGCTTTTTACAAGTTTGTCCTCCTTCAAGCCACACAGTCTGAGTGATGCTGTTATTGCAAAGAAGCTTTCCCACATAATGGTTGTCTCTCATTCACCCAAAGTCATAAGGACATTCACTGTGATGGTACTACCCTGTCATTATGAAATCATTTGAGTAAAAGCTCCATTACAGCATAGCTGTTATTTTCATAGCCAGACTTGATTCAAAATGCATAATGTCATTTGATTTCTCTCTAGAATGCATTTTGTAATGGTTATTGGCAAGTCATGGGCCTTAGTTCTGCTATGAATATCAGTGCAGTCCCACTGGAATAATCTCCACTTCCTTACTTGGCTCCTGTTCCTTAACTGATCTACCACTGTGGCCTCATTCAGCAACACACTCAGCTTTCTCACTGTCTTTGAAGCACCTACACATGACCACTCTGGGGATACAACCAGGGCAACAGCTAGGCAAATTAGGTGTGCTCTTGGACCATGGTAGAGTGTTTAACAATCCATGGGACTGAGCCCTGGCTCTCAAAGTATCCCCCTGACTCTCATGTGGCTTGTGGTGGAGCTGCATGTTATTGAAGGTAAACTGAAGGTTTTGGCAAAATTTCATTTTAAGACAGTCCAACTATAGAGCTCCAACTTTGGGTGTTAAGACTTTCTCAGTTAAGAGATAACTTCCTATTATCATCAGCTATGAGACCCCTTTAGTTCTTCTGAACTCCCCAGTATTTCCATCAAGTGTTTTCCTGCACATTCCACCTGCATTTGGAACAGAAAACATGTCAAAATATTTCGCTTTGGCACCTCCTTCATGATAGCAACCGGATTTAAACAGTCAGTTGCAACGTGCATCATTAGGAAAATCAAGTTTTCATGAACAAGATTAGCAGCCCATGTCTCTTACAATAAACATGATCTAGCATAAACATCACAATAAATAAATGTAGAGCAAAAATATGGCTCTTATTGCCTTAGACTGAGATCTTAAGATTGATGACTTTTACCTTCTGAATCACAGCCAGCACAAACATTCTAATAACCACCAGCACTTTAACTATCACGAGGAGCTAATTTGAACTACAGTAGTGGAAAGAATTAAAAAAGGTAAGGAATCTGACTACATAAGTATAGCCATGAATGAGTGAAGCCCTACACTTCCACTCCTTATTCTCAAACCTACGTGTCTGTTAGAATATCAGTGCCAGTTGTGAAAGCAATCCAAAGACAAAAACAAAACGTCAACAGTGAGTGATTTGAAAAGGAAGATGAGTAGACCAGCCTTAATCCTGTTTCATATGCTTGTTATTAGCTCCACCTTATTGGAGAGCACCATCTCATGGCAAGCAGACTACTAGTAATGATGCATGTTTGCTCTGTCACAGTGATCCATTAGGGAAGCTGTTACGTGCTGAAGAACAGGGTCATTCATTCGGGAATGTGCTTGTTGATACTTCACGTGGACTTTCTAGGGTTCTGACTGCTATTTAAAAGAGAAGAAAAAGAGAAGAGTATTAATAATTATTAATTATTATTAACATAATATTAAAGTTATGAATACATTCTCGGCTCCTGTGATCTTCACATATAAGGTGTCCCTAACTTTGGTCCACATAGCAGCTGAGCATGCATTGCTCTGAATTACTACCAGACTGAAGCAGCAAGTTTATAGAGACACTCCTTCAGGCCTAAGAGGACATTTTCCAGGAACAAAGCTGCATAGAAGCTGCTGTTTGAGACTGCAGTAGGACATTATCTTTTTCCTAGGACCACTTCTCCAAGCTAGAAAGTGAGGCAGGCTGCCAAGATAACCTGCTCTTGTGGTTCCCTGCTGAGGTTCCTTCCCAATCCTGTCCCTCAAGGGGTCCAGAAATAAATGAATTCCTGGCAGAAGAAGAACTTGACAGATACCCAAAACTACCATCCAGGCCTGAAACAGCACTACTACCAAACATAGTTATATATACAGTAGACAAACAAAGAAAAATCCTCCCCCATGTGTCTGATCTGCTGCCAAAAGGTGCACCATACAGTCCCTTTGAACAAGTGTCCAGGCTTCCATGTGGCAATAAAATTTAATCCATTATACTTCCCTCAACAGAAAGATGCTACCTGGCTTTGTATCCTGACCTGTACATATGTATTTGCGAAAATTGAATCCTAATCCAAAAACTTGATATAACTCCTGACTGGTCCAGCATTTCAGCCTTTAAAACTACAATCAAATCAATGCCTAATGAATAAATGCTGAGCCATTATGCCAGGCTGCAGATATTCCAGTGATTAAGACCCTAGTACTGTCTCCTGTTACAATTAAGCCAGTTGCTTACAATTTAGATTGATAATGTGAAAGAGGATGTATTCTTTAAACTTCATTTATCTGCTGTCTCAAATTAACTCCCATGTATATGTTTGGTTTCATTTAAAATACTTTACTTTCCTGACAACCGTTTCAATTACCTCATTAGCATGAAGTTGGTATGGATCAGGGCAGTGGTGCATCCCAACACACAGGGTTCTTTCCTTTCAAAGAAAATTCAATCTCAATATTTCAAGAATTCCATGAAAAGTCTGCAATACTACACTGACCTTTGATGCCAAAGTAGGTTTCAGTCCAAGAAAGGAGAAGACAGTGTTGCTCTCCTTTGAGTCAAAAAAGCTATCATAATCCTAGAGAATTGAAAGAAAAAAAGATGAGTCAACATTTGCATTCATGTTTTCCTAGTAGATTTTATCACACCTTGTACTAGACTAAAGGGTGACATGCAATAATGCTCAGGAAAATACTGACATCCATATTCTCCTATGCAAACCTAAAACCTATTCTAAACTGCCATGATATCACCAACTACAGTGGCAAAGAAAGACACAAATTCTCTAACTGCAACATCTCTCGCTACTTTATTTGGCAGGAAAGTATAAACATAGAGAAGCATCAAAAGGAAATCTATTGTGAGCATGTTTCAAAGGTATTTAAGTGCCTGACAATGCAAATAAGTTTCTGACCAGGTTTCCAATTAACATTTTAGCAAATAAAATACTTCCTAACATGGAAACCTCCAAGAAGTCCTAAGGCAGCCGAAGTGCTTATTTCCTCTGTGGTGGAAAAAGACTTCATTGTATCTCTTGAAATCAGCAATCACATCTCAGCCTTGGACAACGACGTAATTCAATATAAAATGTTACCATAAATAAACATTGTATATAAAGATAAAAACCAAGCTTCACTATCATGATTAAGTTCCTTTTGAATTTCAGCTGCTTAAGTTCATGTTCTGATCTCAGTGTTACTGCTACTTTTACTGATGTGGTTGTTGCATTGGACACCTGCTTGTCTTCTATTATCACATGAGCTGACAATATTCAGTTTTCAATGAGAAAAAAATAGAGAAAATTAGAGCACAGTTTAGTGAAGGGTTTGGCATATGGCAAGAAGCCAGGAAGTTTCATGTGCTCTTTGTGGTTTGGCAAAGATTTCTTCTATGACCACTACCAAACAATAAAGCACCCAGTTCAGACTTTTTCCTCCATCACCTAACTGCAAAATAGAAATATCAATCCTTACTTAATCACTTCTGACATGTAAAATACTCTGTAAATGTCAGAAAATTTCAGGTATGTGCTCATCACTCTATAGCAATTATTTCTAAATATCTAAGATTAGTAGTTGTGCTTAACTGGAAATTATTCAACAAGAGGAATCCCTTTAAACATTGACTGTGCACATACCTGCTTTCAGTACAGAGTAATAACAAGCAGCCTTGGTGCCTCCACAAGCTTCCCAGCTGTGCAACAGTCATTCCCAATGCACAGGACCACCAAAGTTAGCACTTCTTTGGCTCCTAACCTCTAATCTCATTACTTTTTGAGAGCTCATCTCTCAGTGTTACAGTTTGTTCTGGTTTCAGCTGGGACACAGTTTCAGAGCTTTCCCTGAAACTGGACCTCAATTTTTTCTCCAGGAGCAGCTGCTTTGCCCACTTGTCTCCTTCCACTCCTGCCTTCTCTTGAACCTCTAACTTGACAAACCACCCTGCAATCACAGGGGACCATGGACAACAAACAGAAAAAGCCCTAATTGAGAAGAAGAAATCTTTCTCTGATCTGGTTGTTCTTAGAAGTCTGTCATAGGATATGCAAAGATTAGGAACCTCCTTTCATCTTCCAACCAGTTTATTCATGCCTAGCCACTATCCACTTGTGACTACATTTTGGCTTCTCAGATGATAAGCAGGAAGCACAAGTGGTCTGGGCAAGCATTCTACTTGCCCAGCATTTCTCTGGGTCTTCACAGGTTGGTGTGAATCCCTGATTAGCTGAATTATATCCTTGTAGAAGGATGGTTGGTATTTTGTGAAATAACTTTGTAAGAAAAGTGTGTGCTTGTACATGAAGACTTTATTTCTATTCATTCTCTTTTTTTTTTTTTTGTCTCCAACAATGTAAAATAAATGGTTGTTTGGACAGAAAATACATAGTCACCATAACAAGAATAATATAGCTCCCATGAGATCCATAATAATCCTGCAGATGTGCAGAATTTCTCCTAATACCTTCATGATGCACTAGACAAAGATGCTTTACTAGCATTTTGATAATGATATACTGTTATAGCAATGTGAACACAACCATCCTAGCAAAGTGATACTTTGCAGTTGCATAATTATTCAAACAGCCTCAGCTCCCAAAAACCCAAACCATAGCTGCACAAAGGCAGTTTTCCAGCCTAACTGTCTATACTAAAAGCATCAGCTGTGAAAGACACAAAGAGGCCAGCAGGAGTGGATAATGGTCATCAGGCCTTGGACATATTAGCTGACATAAGTAGAAAGAGTACACCTTCTTAAGATGGCTTTGTGTTGTTGTCTTCTAAAAACACATCATTTGCTAATTTCCGAATTAACATACATTTACAATTAATAGCCAGAAAGTAAATCCAAGTAAAACAGACAAAATAGACAAATCTAACAACTAAGCCACAGCATAAGTTGAAAAGAGTACTGAAAGATACCCAACAGTGCCATGGGAAAAAAGGGACAATGCAGTCATTGAATACCTAGAGGAGTAATAAGTAACACTGAAGCTCTGCAGAAGGATGTTTGATTAAGCCCTTGACTTTTACAAATGAGACTTGAAAAACTGCATGGACACTGCTAAACCTGAAAAAGGTCTGTTCTGACTCTGTTAAAGCAGATGAAAAGCCCTGAGGGACACAAGCTGTATAAGAAACCAAATGTGAAGTCAGCACATGACCAAGCTGAGAAACAACCTTAATTTTCTTGGCTGCGTTCATCTACAAGTGAGTCACACTGTCTCTGGAGCTAAAGGTAGGGAGCAGTGGGTGAATATCACCCACAGTGAGAAGAACAAGGGTACACCCCTTTAATACCAGGGCAGGTTTACATTGCCTGTAAACTACCAGCAGCCAAACTGCAGGCAGGCAGCTATTGCAAGCATTTCTGCAGCAGCATGGTTCAAGGGAGACATTTCTTTTGGTCCTCACCAGGAGCACCCATTCCTCCTAAGCACATAGGCAGTTTTCATGAACTCTCAGACACTTCTTTGTCTCAGCAGTTTGCCTAAGGAAGGTTCTGTTTTTGTTCAGGTGAGTTATCATCTCTTATTATGGTTTCCAAGTTCTGGGGTTCTCCTGAGCCTAATTCCAAGTACTTCAATTATCTCTAAAATTATCACTACTGTAAGACTATGCTTTTTTTACTCTCTGTTAATAAACTGGTAAGAAAGACAAGACAGGGAAAGATTTACAGACTGAAAATAATGTCATAAGAAATAAGGCTGCATTACTGGCCCTGACAATGACTTAGACTTTCAGCTAATCCACCAATGTCTATGAGCATCCGTTCACAGATCTGTTCACCTTAACCTATGTAAAGCAATTTAAGACTTAAAAACAAAAAGCTTTCTTCAAAAAGCTTTCTTCAAGTACTACTTATCAATTTTTAATTCCAGAAGCATTGAGCCTGATTTAGTATGTTTTTTCCCTATTTTTACTGATTATCAAACCTGGATTCATTTACTGAAAAAGGTGTGAAGGTTAAACACTGAGCTAAACTGAGTAAAGTTTATGTTTGGAAGAGCACAAAACCCCTGACTGATTAATTTTTAAAGGACCAGGATATTTAAGAACCTTGAGAGATTACCCACCAGAAGCAATCTCCTTGATGTTTGAAATATCTGCAGTGCAAAACACATTAAAATGTTATTGACACCTAGTTACTTTCATGGGGGATAGAAGGGAAAACTCATTATGCTTTTAGATAAAGTAGTTGCAAAATTTTATAGAGAAGAATTTTCCTATTCATCTCTGCAATTAAAACATATGATCTCAAAATATTCAAATGTGAAAAAACTGTTATAAAAATGCATAACAGTCCTATAAAAATGGTAAGAAATCGCTTTAGCACGGTAGGTTCTTAAGGGATTATTGAGAAGTATGATCTCAAGGACTCAAGGGTTGTGCTTTGGCATGTGGTAGGAGTTCAAAGTGGGCATCCCTGGCTCTCCCTGCAACACAAGGAGAGATAACAAACGTTCCAAAAACACCCTGCCTTTGATCTAGCCTTCATAAGAAGAGGAAGTCTGTGCAGAATTGAGCCACGTATAAAGACACTAAATCCATGGGTGAGGACATGAAAATTCTTATCTCACATAAAGAATATCCCAGCAGTAGATGCAGAGGCTGAAGAGGAACATGGTGCCAAGCTCAGTGGAAGCTGAGAATTTCATACACAGGCATGAGCCCAACCCACTAGTTAGCCAAGGGGTTCTTTGGGAAAACTCTGTGGGACACTCTGCCCCCGCAGAGGAAGGACAGTGCCATTCACAGGTTTTGGCAAGGCAGTGGTTCCCTGTTTCACATCAGGCTTCATCACCAGTAACAAGTTGCTGCCATCCCCTCATCACTGGTCCAAGCAGCTCTACCAAGCCAGCAGGTGCTGCAGCTTTGCTGGGATGAGCTGAGCAGTGCTGTCCTGTCCCTGTGCAAGGAAGTGGCTCTCACTGACACCCTGGAGGCATTCAGAAAGCAGCTGTTAACCTAAAAATATACAAGTATGGCAAACTGCTACCCACTGCCCCACTTCAAAAGGCAACTATGTGTACAAATATTATTTTGACTGTAATGTTTTAAATTATGATCTTGGTGCTTTCCAGAGCTGTTGATTACACTTTATTAATGTATAAAATTCTGGCAACATCAGTAGCTGATTCTAACTAACTAAAACCCGACTACTAAAACAAATGGGACATGGAGACAGTGAACATGAATCATTAGTGATGTAGAGATGCTCAATCTCTCTGTAAAAGTTGAAAAGTCAAAAATACAAATGATAAATTGCAAAAGTGAGGGTATGAAAAGTTACCAAGAAAGCCAAACACAAGTTAGGGAAAAAAAATATATCTCAGGGTGGTTTGAAAGGGTAAAGAGGTGACAGGAGTATAAAGAAGGTAAGCAAACAGTTATTCCAAGGCAGAAAAGGCTTCTTAACAGGATAACAGGCATCTGACTGGTTTAGACCTAGCTCCTCACCCTAAAGTCAACACAGCTTGATCACCCACCAAGTAACCTGAGCAATATACAGCCTCTCTCTTTGAACACCAGAACAGTTACAACACTAAACATGCTCTGTGAGCCACTGGAGAATGGATTA